TCTTTTGCCCTCTATTCCAATAGGTCTTTCCAGACCTGCCAGACATATTACACTATTTAGAGAGCAGGGAAAATGCTTTTCTGTGTGTTTGTGGAACATGAACATTAATCCAGTTTAGATGCCATAATTTCCTTTTGCAGGCAAGGTTAATGTAGGACCCTCAAAGGACTGGGGGGAGGGAAGCAAGAGGTGAACACCCTCCCACATCTTATTTACCTCTGTTGCTATTTATGTTCTGTTCATTACTGTATTTACTTGCTAAATTATATATAAATATTATAGCACAAGAAAACACATCAGCCAAAAAAAGATTTAATGACCACGATGGAATAATCTTTCCCAGGGCTGCTTGGATCAATCTAAGGAAATGAGGTTCCAGAAAAAGATATACTTGTTAGAAATGAGTAATTTCAATAGCTGCCATTTGACACAGTAGAGGGCATCTCTGTCTCCCTTTTCTGCTTCACACACCGCATTCTCTGAGCTGCATCTTTGATCCCTGTCTGTCTGAGTGGCTGCTAGTACTTGCACACTATCTCAGAAGGACATTGAATGACCTGGATGTTGAGCCACCATTTTCTCTTTGCTGGCAAATGATTGCATTTCTTGTGTTCTGAGATGTTTTCTTTAATCTTCTTTTTCTTTTGAAATTCACTACAAAGCACAGAAATACAGTTTCTTCATCTTCTGAGTATTTCATTTTTCGAAGTAGTTCTTTTAATTTGCACCTTCAGTTTTGTATATGCAGTCATTTGCCCCTATGAACACTTTTGTTTTTTAGTGGAAGATCATGTCTATAAAACAGGAAGCTAGGGCCGTGTGTAGACAAAACAAGGGGCATGTGTGCACAACACTTTAAAGCGGGCTAGCTAAATGCTTTTGCACCGCTTTGATGGTGTCAATGTTTGCATGCCTCGGCGGCGTATTGTGCATTAATTCCAGCCGTTGTAGGAAATTTGGCAGCGTAATGTGCTGTAAATGACTTGGGGCACAGCAAACTAAAACTCCTTCAGCAAAGTAAAACTCCTCCAAGGAGTTTTAGTTTGCTGCCCCTACAGCTGTGGAGCGAAGCACCGGGCTCTGTGCAGCTCCGTGGCTCTTCAAGAAGTCCTGCAGGCAGCCTGGCAGCAGCCCGGGAAGGCAGCGAGCCTGATTCCCTTCCCCCTGACCACCAAACCTGCCTGAGCTGCATGGGGGCCTGGTGCTTCCTTCCATGGCTGCGGTGACTCCCGGCACCACCCAAGCTGGGTGCCTGTGCGCAGGTGCCGCTGCTGCCGTGGAGGCAAGCACCAGCCTCCCCACTACAGCCCAGGGACTGCTTTGCCTGCCAGCAGCTCACCCTCCCTCTCTGCCACCAGAGAGGCAGGTCAGTGCCGGGTGTGTGTATGACATAGGGGTTTACTTCACCCTAAATTGAAGCGGTGGGTTTAAAAACCCACCGTTTCAATATAGGGCCCCCATTTCATCTACACGCACCCACAAATCTTAACACAAGATCAGTTTGTGCTATTGACCAAGCCCGTTCCAAACTTTCCACTGCTATATCTTTTTCAGGAACCTCATTTCCTAAGATTGGTCCAAGCATCCCTGGGAGAGATTATTCCATCATGGTCATTAAATCCATTTTTGTCTGATGTGTTTTCTTGCGCTACCAATTTTATATATAATTTAGCAAGTAAATAGAGTAATCAACAGAACATAAATAGGAACAACAGAGGTAAATAAGATGTGGGGGTGTGCTCACCTCTATCCTCCCTCCCTCCAGTCCTTTGAGGGTCCTAGTCAAAGGAAAGGTTGATATATGTGCCCTTTTTCCAGCAGTTTTTCATGTGTGCATATGAAATATATAGCACAAGTTGGATCCACATCACTATATATGTACACAGGAGCTAGAAAGGATTTAATGCAATAGAGTTTTAATGGTTGTTCTTATTTCTGCTAACTTTCACCATCTTGATGCACCTTTTTTGTTCCTTCTGCTGCACATCCTTTACTCTCATGGACTGAGTGCCTAACACTCATTCACCACAAACTTGTGAACTAGGTACATAGTCCTGTTGCTCCCTCTAGTGGCCAGCCTCACACAATACAAACATAATTCTCCAGTGGGTTTGTTAAAAATGAAAATATTATTCATTATTTGGTGTGGAACAAGGATACAAATATCCCAAGCGGTTCTGGTGCCATGGAATCCCTCATTAGAGCACTCGTCTGTTAGCTTGTCTGCCACTACCAACCTCTGCTGCTTTTGTGTTGCACTTTCTTTGTCCGAAAGGAAAGAAAAAAGGGGAGAATTCAGAGATGCTCCTGCAGCCCATAATGCATATTACATAGGACTACATGCATCCCTTAGGCAAAAGAGTGGCATTGAGATGTGACAGGACATGTGTTTTACTATAAGCCTTCTTCCCCACAACATCGATTCAGTTTTAATTTTACTCATATGTTGTTTCTGCCTTAATGAACGTATTATACTCTTACGTACCCTATGAACCCATATGTTGCAGTATAACACATAAATAGTATAAAAAATGTTTGAAGGGGGAAAGCTGCAGGCATGCCATCTCAGCCAAATTTTACACTTTGACTGCAACTGTCAGATGTTTTTTGAATGCATGTCCTTTATATGAATTGCCTTCCGTCCAGACCTCTCTTGCTGCCTCTCTCACTAACTCTCTGTTGTTTTGTCTTTCCTCACCGGCCTCACAAGATTGTAGGACAAATTCTGTCTTGGACATTAATAAGCCACCTACATATTATTCCTTTTGATTTCCTATGCTGACTTCCCCACAACCCCACCAGTTTTCGAGACTTTCTCTTCTGCCTTCTCTTTTCCTTGTCACACTAATTAGATGCACAATTTGTTTGCTTCAAGGAATACACACTCACAGCATCTGATACCAAGATTAACTTTTAATTAAAATAATAAAGAAGAAGCCTAACTGAAACTGTTCTTTTTCTCTTACACATTTCAAACCTATGTCAAATGTTAGAGGTCTTCTTATGGTAGGTGTTACACTGGATGTGATTAGAGAGAGGAAATATCACTTATTGTTGTTTACCGCAAAATCTGTGGATTTTTTCTTCCACCAAGAGCTAGAAAAAATACCATGAGAGCTAGGATGATAGCCATGTTACAAGATCCTGTGGACCAAGTCTTAAGACAAAATTCCCATTAATTTTATTACATGAACATATAAATGGGAGGGGACAGATAGATTTTGGATCACAGTATGGTGATTTAACCCACGTCCTCACAAGCCAACTTATATTATTATCGGGAGTAAAATTTCCTAAGACACAGAATCATAGCCTTCTAAATCACTAATGTGTTGGGTGATACCGTCTCCTGCTTTAGGGTAATTTTGAACATTAATTCAACCACAAAGGCTGTCTTGATGCTGACTTTTTCACTCAGGGACAGATCATTCCACTACCCTTGGATAGAGTGATGGAGAGCACCATTAGTGGCAGAGTAGCCAAATGTCATAGTGGTGCTGCTGGCAAGTGGTTACAGCAGCTTTAATTTTAGATTAGACTGACAGTCTCCCAGAATCCAGTGCCAGTGATGACTCCAAAAGCTGAGCTCTACCTCAGTATCTCTAGGTTTTTTTTCTCTTCCCCTAGCAATTTTGTAATTCTGTCAACAACTGTAAGCAGGTAAGGGTGGGGGGAGGTTGGCAATCTTTCTTTACAAAGCCAACCTAATTACTGTTGTTTTCATTTAGTTATTTTGTGATCTTTTTTCCCCCACAAAAAGTACTAATTGTATTTGTATTGTATTGTATTTTCTTAGTGACAAAGTTTAAATTTTTGGCACTGTTCTATCGGGTGTCTGATCTGATCCTAAAATTGCACCCAAAATATAAATAACTGATAATATGCTACAAGTTGTCAAACATGCCTGTTTGTAGGAATCTCACTGGATCTTTAACACAAAAAGACTGCTGGTTGAAAAAAGGGGTTTCCCGGGGATAAAAAGGGATAAATAAAGTTCCTCATTCTTGCTCTTTTTTTTTTTTTTTTTTTTTTACACTGGACAATAGGGAAAGGAGGATTCTGAACACAGAAACTTTATTTCCCAGAGATCACAAAAAAAAAAAAGATGCCAGGTTTATGGCTTTTCAAGAGGAGTTTCATGAGAATTTTTTATCATAAGGATATGTTTTGCTGGAAGAGACATTTCAGAAAAAAAGTTTTCATGCAGCTGTATTTCTTAAAGTTAATTTAACTTGAATCTCAGTGGAGCAACCTTCTAAGGCAGCGATGTTCATCTTTTTGGTCCTGTGGACTGGCATGTGGCTGGTCTGCAGGGCAGATTGGACCCCACATGTCAGAATTGGGCCCACATGCGTGGAGCCAGACTATGCTGCTGCTGCTGCCTGGTCCCACGTGCTGGGATCAGGGTCTGGGAACCCTGTGCCACCTTTGCCCAGTCCCATGTGCAGGGATCAAGATCCTGGACTGCAAGCTGCCTCTGCCTGGCCCCATACTGGATCTATCATGCAGCACCACAGCCTACTCTAAGGTTTTCCTGGGACCTTAACAGAAAGTAAAATAGTGACATTGTTGGAATGAGACAAGTAGATACTAGTGGTAGTGGCCACATCATGACATCCTTCCCCTGCTTGGAGAAAATATGATAAACAAGAAAAAAATGTGGCAATGCAACTGAATTCTCTTGTACTTTCAGTACCGTTCTCAGGCAAAGCATTTGAAGCTAGTACTTGGGGTTTTTAACTGAGGCAGACTCCTTTTCTTCTCTTCCCTTTTCTGAAACCCATGTAATTAAATAATTTTTTTCCCCTTAGAAATACAGCACCTAATGGATGGGCCTGAATGGATTTTCATCCCAAGCCGATAAAGGTCTCTAGGTCAAGTGCTGTAAGCTGTGATAATAATGCCACAGTCCGTTTATTCTGACCACTGAATACAGCTGTCATACACTTATCTAAATTATCTGCAGGACACACGCAATGAATTGAGCATGATTTTTTCCCCCTTTTTATGACTCTAATTGTTCACAAACTGTCATTCAAAATCATAGAAGCTTCCATTCTCAACACCACTGAATGCAAAGGTGACAGTCTCTGAGAAACCTGAAAAGACTCAATGCTTGACATGTACCTGGCAAGCAGACTGATAGCTTTGTCTCTTTTCATGTTGTTTTGGCATATATTTCAGCTCTTATAGAATTCTATATAAGACTGCAATATTTAATAAGAAACACTCCAAGGAAATCAGGTCTGCCAAATCCCTGAATAGTGAATGCTCCAGAGACCTCAGACAGGAGTCTGAAGCAACAGCTGTGAAATATTCATAGAACCCTGGAAAATTCATTTATATCACTGCCCTGGTTAACTTGAAAATAACTCCTGGACATCTTGCACTCTGGCTGCCTCTTGTGTCTGCACTTCTGGAAATCCATCCATCTCACAGCATACTGCTATGAAAGACAGAAATTGGTTTGGAATTAGAAACAGCTGTTACAAAGCAGTCATAGGAAAGTAAACTATGATATTGCGGCAGTGACATTTCCCAGTCTTAACTAACCACATACCATCACCCAAACCGGTACAGGCAACCATCTACCTTAAAGCCATACATTATTTAGGGGTTCTAAGGCAGTAGTCTTAACTAAAGATTACAAAAGGAATTAAAGAAAAATAACTTCCGGCTTGGTGCATTTGTTTCCTGTAAGATGGCTTGTTAATAAGTATGGGTTTGTATCTTATTTTCACAGATTGAGCATACGGATCTATAAGACTACTTGGGTAAAACAGAGGACTATAGAACAGGAATAGGAGGTAGAATTGCTTCTATATACAATACAGCACATCAGGGTTGGCAGACTATGGCCTGCAAGGCAGATCTGGCCCATTGCATCATTGGATCAAGCCTGTGGACGTGGGGTTTCCGAGGCATTTGGCAGCGGGGATTTTGGCTGCAAGCATGTTATGTATCTTGCCATGAGAAGTGCTACCTGCGGGTGCTTTCTCCATGCCAGTGTGGGGAGATACACTGGTTGCGAGCTGAGTCGTTCTGGCTCACAAACAGAAAACATTGCCAACTGCTGCAGTACATTAGTGGAATAACTGCCTCCTCTTAAAAAGACATTGGCAAGATTGGAAAGGCTAGTAAGAGCTCAAAAAACAAGTCATGGACCAGAAAAAACATATTTTATAGGGAAAGGCTTAAGTAGCTCAGCCTGTTTATTTTATCAAAGAGACTATATGATGATTTGGTCATGGTCTGTACATACTGTACGAACAGGAGGAGAGGATCATGCAATACCACAAGCCTTTCTAAGGCTTTGAATTTCCCATCACTTGAAATTATTTTATGTTTTCAGAAATTATATGGAGTAGTACCACAACAAGTTATCTGACTGACTGTAGGACTAACAGTGATATTCTATGGCATTTGACCATTTTAATGAAATAGGTCATAAAGCTTTTGAGTTTTTGCTGAACTCAAGTTCTAAAGTGTTTGCCTGATTTTTTTTTTTTTAATCGGTCCATTTGAATAGGTGTCAGAGACAGACAGAAATCTGAAGTAGTGTTGAACAGCTAGCTAAAGTCAGTGTTGATGCCTGTGAGCTTCATGAATTAATAGATATTAGCTATCCTTAAATATTAGCTTGACTAACTTGAGAACTAATAACTTCTTGACAGACCTGCTGCAGAAAAGAAACTGAAGATAAACTGTTTTCTGTAGTAAATCATTTTTTGTATTTAAACTAGATGTTGTTTGAATACGTATTTTTAACCAACATAAACTGTTTGTGTCTAACATATTGTCTCTAATATAATGTCTCAGATTAGAGACATATGCCTCTAATATTAAAGACAATGGAGTTTCTTCTGTTACCATCTCATACCATTCCTCACTGTCCTTCCACCTCTTTGCTGGTTTTTAAAGCTTGTATTTCTTGTTTTCATACATCAAACACATAAAAAGCTGTAGGTTTAAGACTAGCATGGCCAGTCTCAGGCCCAATTTCTTCTCTAGATAGACTGTCCCCCTTCTGCAGCAGCATTTTTGTTTACACATTCAGAAGTGCTTCACCTGGAAAAAGCAAGCTTCATTTTACTGAAGCTGTAGTACCATGTAGGAAGCTCCATCATCAGACATTTTTAAATTCAGGCAGGATAAGCATTTATCTGGCCTTGTTTAGACAGGGATGATCCTGGCTTTGCAGAGGTTTGGGCAAGGTGATTTCTAGCCCTAGTTTTCTGTGATTCCAAATGGAAAACCCTGACTAGCCAACAAAGAGCCCCAATAAGCATTGTGTGCATGTCCCAAGATGGGATTAAATACTACACCAAGTGCCTCCCTGTGTACTGTACCAGGTGCCTCCCTGCATGAACTGCAATGCATATGTGAGAGAGAAAACATTGAGTCTTTAGATTACATTTTGTTGGTTTTTATTCCTTCAGCTGTATTGCATGTCTCAGTGCACCCAACTTGTGGAGTTGAGCTCACCCTCTAGTGTGTGCCATTGCTTAGAAACCCTATGGGAAAAATGTGCAAAATAAACTGTAAAGTTGTCTAATTATCTGTACAGTTCATAGATGCAGTAATATGATCGTCAGAAAGGTGGCACTGTTGTATTTTGTATCTCACTTATTTTACTGGGTGCTCTCTATAGACTGTAAAACTAGTCATCCACATTAGAAACATTTTGTTTTTCAATGTCTTATCCTTTTGTCTGTTTAACAAGCATGCATTTTTCATGGAGTTCATTATGAGTTTTAGAGAAGGACCTGTGATAAAAAAAAAGACAAAACATTATAGATTGCAGCCTCCTGAAGTATATTCATTCAACTGTGGAGAGACTTTGGCTTCTTTGTTACTAAAATCTTGTCACAGCCTAAACCGAGACCATAATAACTGCAGTGAGAAACAATGAGCTCAAACGTCCATCCCTCTTGGAACAGGAATTTCAGTTCTTTACTTCACAGGCAATCTTTTTGTGTAATCCCTGTTATAAATTTATCCAACTCCATCTTTATACCCATTTTCTTGCCCCCCAATACTCCTAGTGAGTGGCTGTTCTGAAATCTTACTCCTGGGATTTTAAGTATCCAAAAATGTTTGAGTTTTGGATCAAATGACTTGTATATGCTTCCAGAGCTTTAAAATTGTATACTAGGTGCAGACTTGCCTATACATAGCAGTAGAGCACTACTACAAGGGAAGAGAAATTAGGTGTTATTCAGTATTATTCAGGCTGATGGTAAGCGGGGTCTGAATTACACTCGCACTCTGTGGGGGTCTGTGGTGGTGGCAGCTGGAAGCTGGAAAGAGCTGCTGCCACTTGAGCTGCTTAGAAAGATGCAAGGAGGGCTGGGGGCTCTCATCTCTTATGGGGGGACTTTTGGGGGCTGTAGTCTTGTATTGCAGGGGGGCTCAGCTTCCCTGAGCCCCACCGTATTTCGAATCCTGATGGTAAGGAAGTGCACAGATGAGAAAACTACTAGATCCTACATTCTTATGAATCTACAAAGAGTTGTACTTTATGTCTTGTCTATATTTGTAGCACAAACAATGCTGTCCTTGGGATCTACACTATTAGCAGAACAATAAGATTCTGTAACTAGTTTTTCTGATTGTTTGCTTCAGATAACATCCCATACCATTTTGGCTGTTCCTTTCTCAAGACATGTTTATAAGCCTGTTCTATTTCTAATTCTTTTCTAATTATAGTGGGAGAAGCTACAGATGACAACAAGTGAGAGGAGGAAGATAGTCTGTTCTGTTACATTCCACATTATTGCTATTACCTGCGTTGTTTGGTCATTGTATGTTTTAATAGATCGGACAGCTGAGGAAATTAAGCAAGGCAATGACAATGGTAAGTTACTTTTTCTGCCACTTTGCTAGTACAGTAATAGACTAATTACAAAGGAAGATAGTTAATGGGACAGTCGTTGTTTGTAAATATATATCCCATTGCTAAAATGCTTGCACATCTGCTTTATGGAAAAATTAAAGGGCACATCATTCAGTGTTAAAAGCCAGAATTTGGCTGAATTTATTTTGCTCCTTGACTGCAAGAAAAAAAAAGCTCACAGCCCAGTGCATCCGTCAGAGCAGCTAAAACATGTTGTTTATTCTTATTTTTACTCCATAGCAGAGGGGTTTTCATACTGAAATAAAAAAATGACTAATGAAAACCAAAGGTTCAGCTGAATTTCACAAAAGCATCCAAAAGTCTAAGGTGTGTTTTATGTGACTTAATAGAACTTGTCTGTTCTGCAAAACTAGGGTAGGACACATGCAACAGGCTTCATAATGAGGATTTCCAGCAAATGATCGTTTATGGTCCCAACTGGAAACACTATGGGTGAAATTATCAGCCCCTAATTTGTAAAATAAATGGTACCAAGGCCCTTTCCTGCATTCTTCATACATAGCTACGTTTATTCTATGAAAACAGTCTTTACTGTGGAATTTCAGTTCAGTGTCCAGTAGAAACCCAGAAATGCAAAAATGTTGGACGTGTGAGTAGAGAGAGGTAAATAGCTGTGTTAGTCTGAAGTCAGGCAGAGGGCAGGGCATGGTAGTATCTTAGAGACTAAATGCCTTTTTGAACCAGTTAGTTTCTAAGGACAAAGGAGAAATTACTAAAACATTTACAGCCTTAAAGAACTTTGGTGGTGATGGTTATAATAGTATGACTCTCCCTTGCTAGATGAGAGAATCAGAACTCCAGTCTCATCTTGGTCAGGAGTGTTTAGGGTAATGAATGCGGGATTGGCCCACCATTTACAGCAGACTATAGGTTAATGAACTGAGCAGGTATTTTCAACATGTTTGAACTACTGTACTTCAGTAAAGCTGTAAATGCTGTTTTATAAGAATCCATTGAAGTAACTCTACCATGCAAGAACAAATCCCAGCCATAGATATGCCCATCAGCTGTTCAAGTCACCAGGGAAATAAGCCAGCACATTCAAAGGCAGAGTTGGATCCACACATTATCACAGAGAAGTAAGGCAGGATGGGACCTCAAGAGATCATCTAGTCCAATAGAGGATTCAGTCTGAAACTTTGGTGTTATTAAGCACCATGCTCTAACCGACTGAGCATGTTGTAACAATAATTTTCTTATCTTTGGCTGCCACCTGCAAAGGACAACTGCCAAACATCCCTTCAGAATCAGGCCTGCTCTTTATTTTACGATAAAATTCAAAACACTGAATTACTGGCCAGAAACATACATCCCAGCCAGCTAATATTAAAAGATGGTTTCTGTTGCCATTTGAGGTATATACTCCAGGGCCTGGTAAAATTAGGTGTAATATCTAATCTTACAGGTGACACCAACAGCAATTCTAATTTGTGTACAGGAGGAAAAGAAAACTTTTGCATAGTATATGAATGACCTTGTTAAAAAGAAATCTATAACAATCATTCTTCCTCTTTTGATCAGGACTATTACTTAGTAGACTACTACATTAATATTATATGCGTGTATAACATAGATAACATGCAGTGCTGGAAATCATTTGAAAACCACATGCCTGTGCATGAAAAGGCTTCCAAGCAAAACAAATCCACATCAAGTCCTCTTGAATACTTAAAGAATTTAAAAATCAGATGAGTATGTGGGGAGCAGCTTTTCTGTCTCTGATGTTAAGTGACATAAAGACTAGCACAGCAGAGTCCCTTGTGTTCTGTTGTAAACTTTACATGAAAAAACAAAAATCAGCTTTGTGTACTGCTAGTTGAACATCAATATTTGATGCTGTTGGTGCCTGCCCAACTCTTGTTTTATGAGCAAATTCTATTTATATAACATCAAGATCCCCAAGATGATTCTGTAAGTCCAAGTCCTAATATCGTGTTTCTCTTTTAAATATGTACACCTTTGGTTTTCATTGTGAGATTAACCCTAGGAAAAAAAGGGCTTGATACTTTATTTACAGGTAAATACTATCCATTAAGGTAACTATGTGCACTCCCTTGGTTAAGCTGACTTTAGGCAAGCTTAACTACTCAGCAAAAGTGTCTAGAATGAATATTTGCTTTGACATAGGGTATATCCATAGTCAGGTTACCTAACTCAGTAGTTTAGGCATATTTCTACAGTGTTCTTGAAACATGGCCGAATGGTTGATATTGCCACCTTAACAGAACACAAAGACATTCTGGTGCTACCAAGGTAAAAAGGAAAGTGAAATGGTCATTAGCAGCTTTTTTCAATGTTATTTTCACTGAAAAAACACTAGGTGAAATAAGAATTTTTTTGCAATTCCTCTTCTCAAATACTGGGGGTGGGTTGGGAAAAGAAACCTGAAAAGTGAAAAATGTTAAGTTGCCTTTTTTGTTTCTTTTCATCTTCTGAGACCCTACTTAATGGCAAACTGGGGGGAAAAGGAGAAGAGGAGGAAAAACCTAAAAATCAAAAAATCAGTTCTTTGTGGTAAAGCAGTGGGTAATCTCAAATTACTTATCTAGTAGTGTACAATGCAAGACAGGCAATTGAGAAGCCCTGGGTTCTCAACCTGCTTCCACTATTCCTTCTTGAAGCAGTACCCTCTGTTGACTCCTAAATGGTCTCAAGCAGGTATTTCTACTCCTCTCTGACTCAGTTTTCCTCTGTGGAAAATTTGGACAATACCCATCTACCGTACAGTATTATTGCTGAGCTTAATTATGGTTTTTAAGATGCCTGGACCATTAATGGCATTCTGTGCGCTATGGATTATTTAAAGTTCTCCTAAATATTACTAATAAATGTATGTGTTGGGAAAAGGTTAAAATATCTAGGAAGCAATGTCGATACAAAGGCTTAAACAGTCCAAAACATTGAAGGCCAGCACATTCTGTATCAGTGCCAACACTGTCATCAGATGAGGCAATGCACAACTGAGGTTTTTTTTCTTCCCTCTTTTACTTAGAGTGCTCAATGTTTGAAGCAGCAGCTACAATGATGTTAATTATCTTGCGATTACAAGGCTGTTCCCAGTATGGCATTCTCTGATTTTGTAAAATCGTAAGACTAGTTTTAGGTAAAAGTGAATCATCTTAGTATTGCTCAGAATATCACCCTACTTAGGCCCACTGTTATGTGGCTTCTCAGTGGCAGTGCCAATGGAGATTTTTCTGCAATTATAGAAAGACCTTTAAAGAGTTACAATAGTTTCCTTTTATCCCCTCCTTTAATAACCAGTAACAAAAAGTGAAACAAGATGTACTAGAAACTTTAGGATTTCTATGCAACTAATGAGGAAAACAGAGAAATGCACACAGAGAAACAGAAAAGAAAGGCCAATCAGAAAATGGATGATGCTGGTTAGCAGGGGGTGGGACTCTTTCCCACTAAGTTGCTCCAAACCAAAGCTCCATCACAATGGAAAAATGCTATAGTATAATAGGTTATGGCTTCAATTAAGTATAAAATAGGGCATGTATCTTCTAATAGAAAAGGCACAAAAAGCTATCCTGTGTCACTTTTTACAGCCGTAGTGTGGCACAGGCCAGGGATCTTGCCATTCCAATTTGGATAATTACATTCCACCCACTTAAACCTACAGAGAATAGTGATGGGTTCTAACCAAGGGACAGGAACAAGAAGCACAATACAAGTACACATTTCTGTCCCAGGAAGTAATTTTACATTCCTGATATATATAACTGCACCAGTGAAAGTCTGGTCTTGCTTCTTTGCCTACCAGGATGGCTCCTGTGCTCTTTTAAACAGCAGTTAATCTTTAGTACAATAGCAGCAACACTTGTGTCTCTGTATATGCACAGCATTTAAAGTATTTGGAATCCTTTAGAAAGGAAGCTACTTAATTTTGTTCTATGAATATTAATCAGAAATAGGCATGCATGGCATCCAGGAAAGGAACTATGCAGAATGACCAAATAAGGTGATGATGATGATACTAACCTTAACTTGTTTGTTTGAAAGGTGTCCTTGAATGGCCATTTTGGACAAAACTGGTTGTGGTGGCCATTGGGTTCACTGGAGGCCTAGTCTTCATGTACGTACAGTGTAAAGTCTACGTTCAATTGTGGCGCAGGTTGAAGGCTTACAATAGAGTGATTTTTGTTCAAAACTGCCCAGACACTGCTAAAAAACTGGAGGAGAAGAATTCTTCATGCATTCAGAACTCTGAAATCAAGGATGCTGTGGTAGTGCCAGTACCACAGACAGGTACAAACTCACAGCCATCAGCTGAAGAAATGACTTCTGAGGTCATGCCAGTTTGACAGAGGTGGCACTCTTTCTTCACTTGAAGAATAAAGTGTGAGTGTTTTCTACACCACAGCCACTAAAGAAAGCAGAGATGATCATGCATACCGAGTTAAACAACACAAACCCTACCCAGGAAAAAAGGATCCAGCGAAGCAACATGTGTTACTTTATGGAATGTGACCATTTTGTGAAGTAGTTTCTCAACTAGTCAGCCAGGTATAGTGACAGTGGAAGTGTAGAAAGTGCAGTAGACAACAGTTAACAGACAATGCCAAACAGACATGACAAGATGACCTTTTTAAACTGAATGGCCATGAGGATATTGGAAAGACCTGCTATTATTGTTCTGTTTACAGGGAAAAACAAACAAACCCTTTCCACCTGTTTATTACTACTAAGGGTCTTATTTGCTAATTATCTTCTTAAAATACACTTCAAAGTAATACCATTAAGGTCATTCACATAAACCCTCAATCAACAAAGTTAACAGACCTACACCATGGCACTCCTCTAAGCCTCAAGAAGTTACATGCTTGTGTGCTATATTGGGTGCCTGAATGTTTTGGTAGTTGTATGAGTTGAGGATAGCTGAAGGGTAGTATTGAATATACAGTCCATTTGAATATAGAGTCACATTTTTGCAAAAATATTCAACAATCAGACTTTGAGTTCTCTAATTGTCTCAACCCTTTCCTTGGTCCCGTGAAATACAGAAGTTATTTAGCCAGAAGGCTTCAGAAAATTATTAGATAAATGTCTGGAACAGGACCTCTGTTGCAGTACTTCAAAAAGTGAGTAAAAGAAACACGAATTCTCTGTTATATAAGCATACTGGATATAGAAAGCTTTGTTCCAAAATGGAAAAAGATTAATCATAAACAGAAGTATTACAGGTGGAAGCATGCAATCCACTCCAAAAGAACTTGACATTGAATTATATGTCTAAAGACTTGGGGGGATAGAGGGAAGTAGTGGGAATTTTAAACATAAGGCTTTATTTTTTAGAGTTTGTGATACAGCAATTAAGGTAGTCACAAGCAAGCATACCTAGTCTTAAAATGATGCTGGTATCTCCTTGCTCTGATTTGGCTGAAAAAGTTATCAGTGGATTCTTTTATATGGGTAAGATTGAGCTATTAGCAATTCAACAGTTCAGTTGTTACTTTTGTGTTTTGAGCATTCTCATGTTAAGTGAAGTGTGAATAACATTAACAGGTGCAATAGATAAATGAATGTAGATATAATAATGTGTCCAACAGAGTGAGTTATATAAAGAGAAGACTTTTGTGATTTACTTCCAATCTCTGTGGTGTTTATTACTGGGACAGGAGAGGCAAGCTGGTGAGAAATACCTGTGCCTTGGTTTGGGTAAGTCTGAGGACAACACTTGATAGCAGCTAGGGCTCCTTTTGAACTTGTATTTAGGAAATTGGCCTGGGGAGAGGGATGGAAAGAACAAACATACATTCTTTTAAAGAGGTAGAAGACAAATGTCTGTTGTATTCAAATGTCTGAGGTACTGGTATTGGTGTGCTAATATTCTCCTTCTTTACTTTGATGAAGTTTGGACAGGATACAGTTTTATATCAAACTGCAAAGGTATAAAGGCACTTTTAGAACATTTCATTCTGTTACATTTTTACACTTTAAGTTTGGAATAATAACCTTAAAGTAAATAACAGCCAGGAGGAAACTGGTTTATTCTTTAAATATTTATTAATGGGGACTACATAATTATTGGTCTAAAATTTGTATACCCAAGGTAATTATCATCAGATTTTTTGGAATTAAACTACATTTTATAATTTTAAACCCCCAAATCCTGTTTCATGCAAGATGCTTAAATCTAAAATCCCTGTTCTAAGATGGATTTGTTTGGGCACAAGATGCCATTACCTCTTTTGTTCAAACAAATGATTTTTCCCTCTTCAGCCTATTTGTTCCTTGGTTTGTAGTCATGTCTTAGAACCATGAAAATATTTATGCCCTAAAGTCACGGTATTTACAAGACCATACCAAGACTTCTCCCTCCCCCATATGGCAACAGCTTTGCTGACATTGTGCATTTGAAGCTTAGTTAAAGTTTAAACATTACAAAGGGAAAAAATCTTTAACAAAAACTACCCTCAATGAAATATATATCTGAACAATGGGATGAAGAGGGAAAATGTAACATTTAGTCAGACCAAAAGACCATTAGAGTAAAATTAACATTGGGTATAGGTGGGCTTAAATAAGGGCTTTGATTCCTTAGAATAGGGGTGCTCAACTTGGTCCCATGGGACAAATTTGACCCATTGGGATTCCATGGATCAGAAAACCTGGTAGCAGGGGATGGTGGAAGCTCTGTGAAGCTGGCTCCAGCCTTACTCAGGCCATTGAAACAAAAGAGTATCAGGGTCAGGCCCTATCCCTGAATGTCCAGATTGGTCCATACTCCTCCCCTTCCATCCCTCCCATGCCCTGATCAGGGCAATCCCATCCCACCCTTCCACCCAGCATACACATCAGTGCTGCCCACCCCTTTCCCGCATGTCTGGATTGGGGCCACTCTGTTTCCCTACCACCTGGTGCATCAGGATTGGGGCTGCCCTGCCCACCCCACCCCACGTGTCCAGATCAGGACCACGCCATCCCCACCCTGGCCAGATAGATCGAGGTCATGCTACACAACCCCTGCAGCTGGATTGGGGCCAGTTGGCTGGATGCAACCCACAGAGGGACCTGGCCCTGCCCATTTGGCCTGCAGGGCAAGATGGTTGGGCACCACTGCCTTAGAACATTATTGTAAATGTTTTCTTTTCTCCTTGTCCTCCTCTTTCATAGGAGGTTGATTTGTGATAGCTTGTGAAGACTTAGTGGTAGGCAGAAAGACACATTTGCACTGTGTGGTAAGTCTTGCCTCCAAGAAAAAAATATGCATGGTAGGCAATACCTCATTCAATTCTTTGTCATTTACGGAATTTAACGGTCTGTATTAATCCAATTACTTTAGTTTACCAGAGGCTTCTATAACACAAAAGGAACACATTTTTTTTTTACTGGAAAAATAGAAGTCTAGTACTTTTTTTTTTCTTTTTTTAATAACATGAAGTAATGGTATTGCAAGTAGAAGTTAAAGATCAGGGAACATCGACACAGACATAAATAGTCTTTCCACAGTGGACAGCAGTAAGTACCCAAATCAGGCAAAGCTTCATCTTGGCATGGTTAAGAATTACAGGACCAAACCCTGGGACAGATACCCACCACAATCTGCCCTTTCATAGATATACTTAGTTTCATTAAACTGCATTAATTTGGAACCAAGTCCTGCCTCCTGGCTTGAGCAACACTCCTAATTAATTTGGGTGAAAGTTATGCTTTAACAAAGACTGCAGAACAACTGTACTAATGAGCAATTTTGGAATATCAACAAGATGCTTCTGTTCTGTGTTAAACGTGTATGTCCTCTTTACTGGTTTCTTAAAAGTTTGCCATTCCAGGAATGAATTATTTCAATGATTCATTTAAAAATTGGTAGCAACACTGAACGATTTATTTTTATGCTAGCATTATGAAGATTCTTAATAAGTCCAATGATGCCATGTCATATATCGCTATGCTTAAAAGGCAGTGTTTATTTTTCTGGCCTGCAGAAAGTTTCCCATCACCAGGACTAGCCCTTTCTAATTCTAAACATTGCAGTGAAATGTAATATGGGATGGAAATATTTTACTGTGTGTAATATTGGATCAAGTTTGTGTTGTCTGTTTTATCCTCTTCTCTTTTGCAAAATAAAAAAGATGAATTTTTGGGTGAATGTGTGTCCTGAAAGACAGAAGGTAAGGGGAACAAAAATTACTAGAACTGCTAACTGTTGTGGAACAAATTTGTATTTGTATTAAACGAGTGACCCCAAAGCACTGTAGCATTCTGTGTTTACTTGGTAAGTATCACACTATGTGGTGATTCAATCGTTCTTATGTTTCCAAAGGAAAACAAACTATTTTATTGTAAACACAGATTTTGCACATTTGACCAACCAAAGCAACTTCAAATCAGCTGTCAAGCAAAACATATTTTCATGCTGTTTTTCTCAATCGTTGGAATTCCAAGCAAAGCATAATTATAACTGAATGTACTGGGAAGACTCCATCTACCTGACCTTTCCATTTTCCTAGGTTGTGAGGTTGATAAAACTTTACAGTAAGTTTAAAAAGGCACTTTAAAAGGGCTTAGCCTAGTCCTCATGCTACAGAAGCTGCTAAAAAATATGTCCAGTTATAATCTGGATATTGTCTTTGAAACATGACAGCCTGGTGTTATCTCCCAACATCTGGAGTGTTGGGATAGGGAGGCTCGCAGTGAAAGGTGCATCAATAGCCTTTAAGGCCAAAAGTTTACTAACTTACTTGAAAGAAGAATGAGACACAGTAGGACATATATAAACTTGCCTCACTAACTGGCAAGTAAACATCAACTTAATTACAATACCTACTTGCCCGACCTTACCAGTAACAAAAATATGTATCATATTTTTAAAAACAAGTGCTTTTATAGGAGATATTAATTTACATTGCTATACTTACTTGAAGATTTATTTTAAGCAGGAGATTCTTACACCTGTGTAAATCACTAGTCCTTTTTATTTTATGCAAGAGATTTAAATTGAATGTAAGAAACCAACTTATAACATGTGCAGGCATGCAGAGTTTTTTAAGATTTAGGGCAGACTTCTATTTCACCTTGTGGTGACCAACGGGCAGTTTGCAACAAACTCTCAATTACCCAACTAAAGATACAGGAATAGGATCACTTTCCAGAGATGTGTAGATGTTTCCCCATTCCTACAGTGGAGACACTAAGCCTTCCAAGGGGGTAATAAAAATATTCTTACCCTTTAGTTGGCTACCTGAATGTTTGTCATAAGCAGCACTTTAACTGAATTCATGACCAATTGCATAGCAATCAAAGGTGTGAAAGGAACCAGCCACAAAAGTATTACACAAAATATGTGTAACAATTTTACAGCTTATTCTTCATTTTATTACACCATTAATTGAATGAACATGTGGCCAGCTCACTACTTAATCATGTCTTAAGTGTAATGTTCGTCAGAGGCCCCAAATGCAAGAAAATTACTTAAAAGGAAACCTGAGGTAAGCAGCCCTCCTGATGGGAATAAATCATGCTGTGGGCCCTGGATGATGTTGTATTTATCACACAATGAACATGTTAATTGTGCAATAAATTGTAAAATGGCAAACCAGCCACAAAAATGGTGAGTGAAGTATATGGAACATTGTGCCTGGTTTGTATTGCGCTCTAATTTGAACGTGTCCTCTCACCTGGGAACATTTAAAACCACACTGCAGCCCAGCAGCCCACACCCCAGCATGTGTACACCTGGATCCCAACAATTGCATGTTATATTATGCCGTACCTTGGAAGTCTGGCATGTCAGGATGCCTGATTTTTGCGATCTGGGATTAATCCCACTATGGGATCTGAAAAATTTTAAGTAACATCTGCCACAAGCTAAGAGAAAGCCGACAAGAATTTGTGGAGAAATGTTTGCAAGTGCAATCTTGCTTTGAGGCTTTGCTGCTTTTGTCTCTGAAATTACAAAATAGACGCAAACTTTATTACACAGCATACGTATAAGAATGAGGTTATTACATCAGTTATTTACATGGGTTGTTCCAGAGGGAAAAATGACAACCTTACCATTTTGAATGAACATACTGCTTCCTCTTCATTTGCCATAAACCAAAAGATAATAGAATATATATCAAAGATGATAAAATAGCAGAACACTTACTTGCTTCGTCCTCCAGCAGAATAAGCCTGTGTTTCTAGAGCAAGGAATCATGGCCCAGATTTATGAGTAAAAATAATCTAAAAAAAAAAAAATATCATGTGTTCATGTTTAACAGGTAACCAGTTACAAAATTACTACCTACTTTTTATTTACTACAGAAAATTGGCCAGTATCTGAACTACACCAGAAAACAGCTTAAAATAGCAGTGCAAGACCTGTATTAGGAAATGTCTCAGTTTACCAGAAAAATTCCTTTCTTCTACCAGGAATTCCACAGATCCATAATGATGGGTCCGATGCTTGCAGTTACTTAGAAAAAAGCTCAAGCTGGGCTGTGAAGGTAAGAACCCTGTTTTTCAACAAACCCAAGTCAGCCAGTTCCAAATACTTCCATAGCTACTTACTACAGCTTATAACTTTAAGCTTAAATTCAAAATTTATCAGATATCTCAAGAAGGGCATCTGTGCCCAAAAGCTCGCAAAGAACAATTTTTCCAACTATTTAGTTGGTCTAATAATATATATTACATCTACCCACAGAACTTTTTTCACCTATGTCCTTAGACTAACATGGCTACAACAAACAACCACATTAGGTATCTCAAGGTAGTTATATAAATGGTCATTGTTACAAAGCAATTCAAATTTTACACTCCATTACTGGACAATCACTGGTGTCCAAAGAGAAAAGAGAAGAAGTTATGTCATCTGCAGAACTATAATTCCTAGGCTCAATGGAGTGGCTCTGCAGACTTTACTACTAGAAGAAAGGAATTTTTCAGATAAAGTACATTTGCCAACTGTTTATCCAGGAAAGTTTTCAAGTTTCTTAGTATACAACATCTGATATTAGTGTCTGCCCAGAAAGGGAACTGAAAGATGAATAAGGAAGAAAAGAAAGAAAGTTTGTGTCAATTCCATCTGTGAGTTTGTTCGCTTTCCTAGTATATCAGTTATTGGATGAACATGCTACACAGGTCCCCTCTTCCAACAGTAGAGACTTAAAGAGAACTGCATGTTTAATTTGTAACATGTAACGGATGTGAGAAAAATGTCTGTGACCAGCTGGATCTCGCCATTTCTTATTGTACATGTTTGATGTGAACCTGAATTCTGGAGGTTCCTTGGAGCTAAATGAATGAGTGTACATTTTTAAACATTTGTCAAGAAAAAAAAGGCTATATTTTAAAGTTTCTGAAGTGTATCAGGTTAATCTTCTAAAAAACAAAACAAAACAAAACAAAACAAAAAAACAAAAAAAAAAAAAACAAAAAAAACTTAAACTGTAGCAGTATTTTTATGTATGATGGAAGTTGCAGATCAGTCAGAGCTCTTCTTGACTGACACTGCATTGAAAATCGATTTGTAGCTCTCTCCCAACATCATGAGTATGCAACGGTTGTGTGCAATATATTTTTGTAGTTATTATGAATGGAGGTGGAAAAAGTTGGAGAGCAAAACAATTTCTTGAAACAGGCTTATTTTGGGAACAAAGGCTGTGTGAACTCATAACACAATGTTGCCCTAACAAGAGGTGAAGTGCCACTATGTCCTGATTAGACTGAAGTGATCATAACTGAGATGGCAGTTTTCAGAAAAAAAAAAAAAAAAAAAAACGACAAGTCCTTGACAGGAGATAATGAAGATGCTGGGTTCGGTTTAATCAAAATGTATTTTCCAGGAGGGAGTTCTCCTCGTGAGTGTGGCTTTGCAAAGTACAGAAGATCCAGCTACGAAATCCTCTTCCATCTGAATAAGACGATACTGTGCTCGTTGCTGAGAGCTGGACAGAACAAACTACGGCATGGATTCTGAGGTCTGAGATTTAGGCTAATCTTAAGATTTTACTGGAAGCACTCTACAGATTTGCTTTGACTTTTCATTGTCTGTATTTATGTAGGGTAACAGCACTCTATTAAATCAGACATAGAAAAAGGCACTTGAAGATAATCACACTGCAGAACACTTTCTCAAGGTTAAAAGATGCTCATGAACACATATGGTATCTTTTGTATTCTTATGATTAGACAATTTTTCTGGGTTTGAGTATAAAATTTGGTACCTGTAACATATTTTCCGTGTAGGAGAGGCATAAGTGAATAACCAGCAACGCCCTGGGTAATATCTGCCTTTTGATTTTGAAGAAGATTGTGAACGGCAAAAGATAAAATTATAGTTTTGTAGTAGTGCTGGAGACATGTAGTCATGATAGTTCAAGAAATATGCAAGAGACAAGGATATTTGGGGGTGGGGGAGTTAGTGATAACTTCTACTGAACCAACTGCATGGTTGGAAGAGATTTAGACAAGCTTTCAAGCAAAAGGGGACTTGAGGAAGAACACTATGTGCTCAAAAGCATGTCTAAAATCTCTCCCAACCATGCAGTTGGTCCAATAAAAGATCTAAGCTTGCCCAAATAGTTTTGCCTTAGTCATACTTTTGGCAATTAGAAAAAGTATACAGACACAGGACTTACTGTTTCACCTGCAGTAAGAGTTCAGTTTCCCTGTTAGATTCTGGATCCCAATAAATCCATCGATGGGTAAGTGACACATCACCCAACTCCCTACCTCAAGAGCCTCAAATGCCACTTTCCTGAATACTTTTTTATTCTTTTCTTTCTCAAGTAGTTGATGTGATGTTTAATTTCCTCTTTGTGTGGAACACCTGAAACTACAGAAGATGCCTCTCTCTCTCCTTTTAATCCAAGAAAGGAAATGATTAGACACTCATAGCCAGGATAACAAGCAGGTGTCTTTGTTGTCCCCAAGTTATCAGTGGTTCAACTTCACTGATCAGGACTGAAGCTACAGCTCTTAGGAGTTAGGATACTAGTGAACCACCAAGAAGCCTCTTAACACCTGTTTGTTCTTCCATGTGAGGGCTCCTCTCTCCTTTCTTTATGACTTCGTCTTTAGAAGACCATGAGAAAGCAAGAGCCAACCTAGTGTATCATTCATAGACAATGTCATACTAGCTCTGACATTTTTACTTTGTTCCTGCCTTTAAAGAGCTATAACAAAGGATAAGTTCCATTGCAACTGATACACAAACTTCCCTTGTGATGATTGATTCTCTCAACTGCCATCTTGCATCTGTTTTGGCTTACATGAAGAGAGATTACAGAATTATGAATCCAAATTATTTGAATTAGAAAAATTAGGCTGATTTTTTTTAACTCTCACTAAATTTTTCATAGAACCATGTCAGTTCTCCAAGACCAGCCAAAGTAAAATGCACCTCAGTTAGTAGTAAAGTATGCAGATATCACTCTTAGTATACAAAGGAGATATGATTTTTATGTGTTATTTAGCATGATACACTATTTTCAAGTGTTACACATTGTGAGATATTTTGCACACTAACTTTTTTTGAGTCACCCTAGTTAAAACAGTTTGTAAAATTCACAACTGAATTTAAAAGCAAGTACCTAAATCAAAGATGTGTAGGGGTAAAACAGCCAGTTTAGAGTGAAAGAACACTTCTATTATTCTCAGATACCAACAATTACAAATGCAAAGCTGCAGTATACAATGGTTAACTTTATAATGACTGCAATTGCTGATGCTAAACAAGCAACGAGTTCATGATATTCCTGATACTGAGTATAGAACTCCTGTGGTAATATCAGAGAAAGGCAAGATTGAATTGTTAATGGCAACTATTGTGCAGATTTCTTTTTAAAATGCAGTGCAATTTTGCCAGGACATTAGAGCCTCCTCAGGGCATTTCTCTTCCTCCAGGTTTCAAGATGCAGAACTTGTTAGAAAAGATAACTGTAACAATGACATTATTGGATTCCATATTCATTTCTTCTCTCTCAAAAGATCCCGATCTCAAATCCAAGGAATACCCCTCCCAGAATTTTCAACCTTGGAATTTTAAAATCAAGCTGAAATGTTTCCTGTCTGCCCCCCCTCTTCCATCATCACCCTTCAGCTTTGAAGTGAAAATGTACCTGATAAACTGATGTGCAAAAATCAAATAAAATCTCTTCTTTTACTTGAACAAATACAAATTTGTATTTGTCACTATGAATTGGATACACACAGGGACAGATAGCTTAGCAGATATACTGCTGTTTCATAGTATTTTTTGTGTGTGAGCATTAAAATGCTTCCCTCATTATCTGGAGAACTTTCCTTTCATCTGCCTACACAGTAACCTAAGGAAGAACATGAAGTCTAAATGATAGCAAAAGAAAGGGTGGTTTCAGGAAACCTTCACTAACAAATGAGAAACTTGATATGAAAATAAATTGTTATTTGTAAATGTCTACAAGTGTGAAGAAGTGTCCACCTTAGGCATGTTAACAGATAAATATATCTGCTTTTCACATGCCCTTCTGGGAAGAATAAGTGTTACTGCCTTTATTCACTCCACTGGGAAAAATATAGAATGATTTATTGTCGTAATTCTACTCCTGTCCTTGAAAGTACAACAAAAGTTTTAAACACAAAGAAACTTCACTGGTTTTAAGTTAAATTAGTTTAAAAGGGATTTATCAAATCCACATAAACTGATATCTGAATACACTTCTTTTGGTTTCAGAACTGCTGTATTAATTTAACTTCACCAGGAAGTTTATTAATGCAAGTTAAATTGCTCTGCCAGGATTAAATTGGTGCAGCAGTTTATCTTGGTCAAAAACAGGGTTCTGCCCCAACCCTAGAGGGGGCAGATGATCATGGCTAAGGCACATTAGTATGTGCAGCAAACAGCACTAACGGGAATGTAAGGCCATGTAAATAAAGTATTGTTTGCAGACCACAAGCCTCATCAAACTACTACAAACTGCATGCAGCAGCTCACTTACCCTAAAGCAGCTTAACTGCTGCTTCAGACACTAGCTATAATGCTCAGTCATTAGCTACTGTAAATTCCATAGAAGCTCAGAGAGATTTTAACACTGGACTCTGCCCTTTCTGCTCATTGGGTCAGAAAGGAATCAGCCATTAAAGAACAGCATCTGCATACTTCTATTCCAGTAAAGAAAAATCAGTGGTCCTGCTTAAGCCAAACACCCTGCTTTTGGAGGGCTCGTTTTGGGAGGAAAGGTGTGTGGTATGCATGTAAACGTGGTATATAAATCAGATGAATGCTCATTATGCCACATTCTCACCAAATCAAGGAAGTCTCTTACACACACAAAAAGAATGTGGTTGTATTTTCTTTTGTCAGTGAACATGAGCCCATCATTAAACGTTAACAAAGCTGTACACATCTGAAAACAACGATCATCCAAACCAGCACAGTACAACTGAAGATGGATAAAGTTGCCAGCAACTGTTGTCCACTGTGCAACATCATTTTACTGCTTAATAAACCCAAGCACTCATGGTGTTATATAATCTAAACAATATCTAGGGCCTTTTTTTCACAGCTGCCAAAACAGGTGACAGAAGACTATTCTTTCACCTACTCACAACCAGGAAGGGGGTCCCAAGCTGAAGAGCTGGTAGGATGATTAAAACCTAGGGTTTTATTTTTTGTTTGTTGCTTTTTGTTTCAGGTAAGCACCAGAAGCACCAGAAGATTTCAGAGGCAGTGTGTTGTCAGATTAAGTCAGGGTGGAACACAATAATTAACTAATAATTCAGCTAGACATATCTTCTCAAGTAAAATCCTAGCTTTATTTTTGCTTGTAGTGATATTTACAGAAAGGTCCTGACAGTCTCTCCTTCAGATGTTTCATATCCAGAATCAGTGGGTGATCATTAGCCAAGGTCTGTTGCTTCATCTAGTTCCTCTTTGGGTTCCACATCTGCCTCGTCAGTCCTATTGCACATGGCATCTTTGGCAGACAGCTTTTTCATTTTAATGTTTGGCAGTTTCTTCAGATCACCATTCCATTCTCTTAAAGGGGGACAAAAGTGATGTTACAGAAATTACTAACAATTAAAATACAGAACCCTGAGGAATTCATTACTGCTTGGTTGCATATCCTGCCTGAAAACTGTTTGAGTAGAGCTGCAATTCTGTAATCAAAGATGGCTTCCTGGAGTAAGCAGTTTTAGTCTCCAACCTCTGCAGGCGGGTCTGGTGTGACCAGTTCCCCTGCCACTCTCTCTCCATTCAGCTGTTCATGTTTGTGAAAGGCTGCTCATCAGAAAGCACAGCATATCAACAAGGGACCCAAAAATAACCTGAAGCAAGTGACTCTGTGAGAGAAGACTGCTGGGAAAGTACCCAGGAAAAAGGTAGCCAATCGTTATGCTTAGTGGGGTGCTGAGTTAGGATCAGCAGACAGACAATCTCAGGGTAAGTCTGTGCACAAATACAGCAGACTGTAAAATACAGCAGACCATAAAAAGAAAAAATAAAGTTGGTTAAAATGCATGCTGCTCTATGCAACACTATAGGAATTGTGTGTATACTATATTAGTCTGTGACTTTAAAATCTCAGACAAATCTGTATATGCCTAAGAAAAACCCAAGGTTCTGCAGAAGGTTGTGCTGCCGATTTATGAGGTTGCAATTCTTTCCTCCCAAGTTTCTACTTCTCCCTGCATAGTGATAGGGTTGGTCTTTGGATGAGATGCAAGCCAAGAAACTTAAGACTAGTATAGCTCAGCATCCCTGCACAAGTGCTAAATCAACTGTGTCTGTCTTTCTAAATCACACTATTGATTTAAATTCCCCCTGCAGTTTTCACATGGATAAAATGTTCTTTTTCCCTCTCCTGAATGCATATATGGCACTACTGCAGAGACTGGGTAAAATACCTAAGGCATCTTGGTGGTCTATTAAATGACTTATCTAGTTTGTCAAGTGCCCTTGGATTCTAGGAGATAAGTGACCCTGAAAAGCCCCCCAGAGTATTTGGGTACAGGTACACATGTCAATTGTATTAGGGTCCAAAAACCTGTTATAAGCTAAAAATATAGCAAAACTGTTGTAACTTTAATTCTGTTAGATCCAGGGTTAAAATTACAGTGGTTCAGTGCATGTGTACCTCTTTAAGACCATGATGAAGTAATGACTGCATCACAACAGCTGATATTACCTCCCAAGTGACAACTCTCTCCCCCTTTAAAGCAGTTAAAAAGTGACATATCTACATAGCCCACAACTCGCTTCACTCCCATGATCAATTTCTATTCTGCAGAATTGCTGACTTTTAGTCAATTGGATTCAAAGATGACAGATGTGACCCTCATGCATGTAAAATAATAAAAGTGCAAGTTGGATGAACTTCTCCACTTGCTCAATATGCAGAACTCAACATGTGGAGCTAATTTTACATCTACCAGAAGACAGTTTTTCATTATGATCTATGAGAAATGTTGTATGACTGACTTCAAGGAGATGCAAAGCACCTGTAATTTAAAAGCTACAGGCTGTATACATGAGGAAGGACTCATTTAATTATCATGTTAGGCCTGGTGTAAAAGTTACACAATCCACGCTTCAGTACAATAATTATACATAAAAGATTATTTTTATTGAGGGCAAGAGCAAATATATTGATCCTTTTTAAAGGGACAGTGCTAACAAGGTAATAAATCCACAGACCACTTGTATCACAATCATCACGGTACAGTAAATCAATCTGAACACACAACAGCTGGAGGGGTTTACTTCCCCAGAGTCCCCTGTAAAAACCACAACATTTCAATCTTCCTAACACCTGGGGGAAATCCTCCAAAGCTGCTTCCTTCCTCATAGCCACAGCCGCCTGAGGTATGGCAACTAATTCACTTCATCACCCAATTAAGACTTCTTATAATTTTTGCTAGATAAATATAGCCTGTCCCTTGACTGGATATTATTACTTGTATTACAGGCTTACATTGCCATGGGGAAAATGCTCATTTATCATGCTGAGTTGAGACCATTTAACCAATTAATGCACGATTATTACACGCATACCTACTACTCACTCTGTACCTCTAAAAATACAGATTTAAGGATTTCATTTTATGAAGGGACATAGGAGTAATCATCTCAAACCAAATCTAAGTTTTATCTGGTCCACTGCCTCACAACGAGAATCAAAAGAACTTACAAGAAAGCTCTAATTATGGAAGAACTAGTTGTAGAGAAATATTAAATATCATAGACCCATGCAATGCAAGTTCCCAAGAGCTATCATCTACAAAGAGCCAATCATGAAGCCTACTACACTCTTGGCATAGATATCTTACGCCATATAAAAACCCAATTATGCTGAGACCTTAGAAAATGGAAACAATAATCTCTTTGCACAAGCAACACAACACTTTTTTTTTTTTTTTTTTAAAAAGCTAGAGCTTGTATGATGCACCCACTTAAGACTGAACTCTAAACTCAAATTGGCTTACTTAAGTTTATGTCCAGACTATACAAAACATAAACCACTCTGCTATAGGGTAACTGAGATGAGAATTACTATTTAGCTTCTTTTTTGGACAAAGAAGAGAGTGGTAGGAAGAGTAGTGCTAACGTACTTTTCCATTCACTGTTAACCTTGCTTTGATCCTACGTATTAGTTTGTCTGGCTGGTTAAAAATGACTCTCTAGGCACAGCTGTAGAAAAAACACTCTCTCTATAACTACCTGGAAGAGTTTCCCAAATGAGACTGCCTCCATTGTGTTCCCTACTGAGTTCACAGAACCATAGATCTGATCCCTCATGTCTGTCATTATAGCATAGCCCTAGGTTGTTTGCTATATGAACTGCTAGAAACACAGACAGGGAATTTCAGGCACATGTTTGTTTGAAAATGCCTAAAATTTAGTCACTGAAGTTACAAGAACTCAATCATAACAGTCTCAGCACTTTAAAACTCATAATATTTTAATAACTACTTGTTAGCAGCTAGCAAGTTATACTTTTTAGGTTGTGGTTGCTAAGAAGTAACTTATTAAGTATACTGTTAATATTTCATCAGTTTTCCTTCAAACAAAAGAAATTCTACCAACACTTGTGGAGGGTACTTTTTTTCTTTTTTCTTTTTTTTAAGTAGAAGCTGAAGGGAGACAGTATTCTGTTTCTAGCAACGTCCTGTTAGGCTCACACAGAATATATAAATGATTAAACATGACAACACAAACTCACCTGAAAACTTTAAGATGCTTGCTGTTCACAAAGTCAGGGATTTCTAATGGGGAAAGAAATGAACACATTAACTTCTATATTATCCACCACAATGCTCATTTTTGAAAAAAATTCAAAGCAGCATCAGTTGTCTGCTGGCTAAAGGCCTATACTAATAAACTGAAATGTAAGGACAGATAGGAATGAAAATAGGGATTAAATTCTCATGAGATCCAAGAGAAGTAGTCTAGGAAGCAGACTCTTCTTCCCACTGCCATAACCCAGGGGAAAGAATCTGTGATTTTTACCAGCATGCTTTTCCTGAATCCTCCTGTGGTTCTGTATCAGCTTTTGAAATTCTACAGCCAACAACTTTCTATCTACAAGTGTGAGTGCTTGAAAACCACCGATCCTTAAAAAGGAAGCTGCAAATGCCTAGTTTGAAGACCGGGAGTAAAATTAAATGCATCACCTGCATTACATTAGTGCCTGGCATCCACGGCCTATTGTGCCTCTGTACACTCGCACAGAAAGAGACAGCCCCTGCTCCACAGAATTCTCAGTCTAAATAAACTAAACAGGACTGAAAGGGAAGAGTATAATTTTCAAAAGGAACCAATGCTTAGGAAACTAATTTCACTAAGTGCCAATGAGACTTAGGACCAGGTCCTAAGCCCTGCCATATGAGCTCTAGGTACCAAAGTGTGATCCTATTCTACCCTGCTTAAGTCCCTGAAAAAGATTCAACACAAAAGGTGGATGCTCTCTGCTTTTTTGTGACTTAAGTCTTAAAGCTAAGATGATGGCATGTTATAAAAGTAGGTGAGATAACATATTTTTTCTAGGACTTAAGCAGGGTGGGATATGAACACACTTAGGAGCCTAGTTCAGTGCCTAACGCTAGAACAGGATCTGGATCTTAGGCTTTTAAGTCACATTTTACAAAGGGATATATGCTTTTGGAAATTCTTTCCTAAAATGCTCTCTGCAAGGGGCAGATAATTCTGGACACAGTTCTGACAATGTAAAGAGTAGTACAATGTTAAAAAAAATGAAATTGGCAGGTATACAAATGTGTGTAATACTGTATTTTCATGGACTGATACAGCTTTCTTGATAAAACAGAATATATTCCTGGCTGTGAAGCGTACCATTTCCTTCCATCCATATATGAACCCCAGCTGCCTCAAGAACTTGAGATATGCTTGTTCAAGGGTCAGGGAGCATACCACTGTTTTATCCAGAGAGGTGGTGGAACCTCCATCCTTGGAGGTTTTTAAGACCCAGCTAGACAAAGCCTTGGCTGGGATGATCTAGTTGGGGGTGGTCCTGCTTTGAGCAGGTGGTTGGACTGGATGACCGCTTTCACCTCTAATTTGCTACAATTCTAATATAACAGTCATTGAAGTCATTATTAATGACAGCAATAAACTATTGCTGACAAACTATTTTTTTCCAGTGTTGCAATCTGTATTTTGAAAGAAATGCAACTGTAAATTTTAACTACAATGTTATGCTTCTATGGAGATGTTGAGATATTCTCTCTCTCTTGGGGCAGCTCCAAACATTTTCTGTAACATCACAAAATCTGTAGTGCTACTAAAAATAAAATGCTATGACCAGCCACACATTCAAAGCCTCTTGGCTGGAAAGCAGCAGGGTTGCCAGAAAGGCAAGCACCCCAGCTTCCTTCTGCACCCCCCTCCCCCAAACGAACTTTAAAGGACTCGTAAGACAGGCTTGTGAATGCTTTAAAGGTCCCAGCTCTTGGGCAGCCTGAGACCAAGCTGAAGCCAGTCTGGGGCTACCTGGGAGCCCTTTAAAGTTCTCAGTGTTTTAATGGGCTGCTGGTGTTGAAGCACTAGCTGCCCCCTTTAAAGCTCCAGGACTGTAGGCAGCTCTGTCACCACTGCTGCAACAAGACTGTGTTTGTACAGATTTTCTCAGACAGCCTGCAGGCTTTGCTACGCAGTGGCAGCGGGGACAGGGCTGCACCCAATTCTCCCTAACAGCTTGCTGCTGCTGGAAGAGCCAGCTGCTTTTCCTCTCTCCCTCTCCCACATGCAATCAGAAACTTCTTGGATGTGAGGTAGCCATTTTTGAAGCAGATTTGATATTTTATCACATGATTTATTGCTTGAATGTCTAGCATGTTACTATTTAATTTGCAGAACATGTTAATCACATGATAAATGCAATGTCTGTAGGGGCCTTGAGGTAATTTTCTCTCAATCACAAATCAATAGCAACAGCTTTTTAACAGACAGCCTCTTACGCTGATTAGTGACCTCTCCAAATGAGCAGAGCAGGAAACAAGCGGCATAGCTTGATGATGGACTCTCTTAATGCAATTCAGAAAAAATGGAAGCTGCCTTTCTTTGGGAAAGTGGATTTTTTAGCCACCGTCTGAAATTACATGGAAAAAACTCTGTGGTCTCTTACCCAGTCGCTACCTGTTCCTTCTCATTGGGTTCAAAAAGGCTGTACCAGGTAAAGAAATTAGTGCACCATTTGTCCAAGAATGGGAAGCTAGCTACTCTGAGGCACAGACATGACTCAGAGTTATTTCTTGACCATTTCTGAAATCTTATAGGTGACCTGCTTCATGTCATCAGTAACAATGAGCGATTTAGAAAAATGCTAATGCTCAGCAGCCTTGAAGTTTTAGCAAAGCGTGAAATGTCTCATTACTATCTAGAAACAGTTATTCAGTTTTAAGGGGCAGCAAAATGTCTCAACCAAGAAGTATGCTACCTTTCTAGCATTAAATCTAATTTACCACTTCATATCTTTAAAATCTCACATTGATTCAGATGGCACCTATGCTGTCCTCAAACCCTGAACAAGGAGTGAAAGTCAGAAGCTATTCTGTCTTTGTCCACCTTTCAATTTTCCTCAGTATCAAGGTAATAAGCCACATAATACTATCAATGCTGAATTATGTATCTTATTTTCCCCATGATAAAATGCAGCACGAAACATGTCATTCATCTTTGTGTTTGTAGTTGGACAGTCTGCTATTGAAAAAAATCCTTTTCCTTACATTTAATTAAGGTCACATATCAGAGTTACAGTTTATCAGATATGTCTGGAAAAGAACTGGATGTTACCCTCAGCTCTTCTTCTACATATATCCTGACCACTATAAAAGACTCTTTTGTATTCTTCTTAGTCTTTTCAACCCTTGCTTTTAAATCTTGCTTCCTACCGAACAGCTTTAACTACCGTCTCTATTACTGTTCATACCAGGGAAATCTACCAAATTCTTGTCAGCTGATCTGCTGTCCATGGGGTTCTCTACAACTTTTGCAAAAGGCATTAGAAGCGTCTGAAAACTTCAGATTGGAGACCTACATTACTTTACATTTAGTTCACATTTAGAAGATTTCCTTCAGGGAAAAAAGTACTAGATTTTTTTTTTAAAAAAAACTTACTTCTTTACAAGTTGATGGCATTCATTTGGGAAAGCTTCCAAGTTGCCACAAACAAAGGAATATTTTAAGCCTTTCTGGACAGTACAGCAATAGTGTGGGACAACTTTTGCTTTTTCCTATACATTTCATGATCACCTCAAGTGCAGTCACTGTACCTACATGACAGGCTATTACTTCCTGAGCTGCTGAATCCAGATAAAACTTCTGTGAGTTTCAAGTTAAGACAAAAGAATTT